TGGATGGTGATGCTGTCAGCGCCTGAGGTGTGAAAGTGCTGACGGAAGCCAATCAGGAGAGCCTCAATCTTGCTGACGTTCAACTGTAGAAAGTTAGCTCTGATCCAGGACTTGATGTCTGACAGACATTCTGTGGTCCTGGAGGAGTTGAGGGTGGAGGCAGAGAGATATGGGTACGATCCAGATACATGTGGAAGTTGACCATGTCTGTGGATGATATCACCAAGAGGGACTAGGTACAGGTTGAAGAAGAGAGGACCAAGGACAGAGCCCTGAGGAACACTGCACAAGACAGTGCTGGGGCTGGAGGAGAAGTTGTTCGTGGAGTCAATTCATTTTACAGTATATTCTATGAAGAGCTTTGAGACGTCTCAAAGACATGATATCAAATGCAAGAATTATTATTATTTGCAACACTTGTTGCCTGGGTTTACACAATAAGAATGTCCATTGAGTGAAGTAATGAAGGGCAGCTGGTGCGTGTGGAACTGCGTGAGCCAGTATTTTCAGAGAGAATAGAAAGATATTGCGGCTCGAGAGGAGATAGGTCGTCAACATCTTAAAATAAATAAAAGGACGCACATTTTTCTAACTTTAAAATCCTTTGTTCACAATATTTTCCGTTTTGTCAGTACTTTATAGATTTTCTTCTCTTGCTTTTCCAACTCCACAAGCTCCACCCAGTGGCAAAGATATGCACCAAAGAATCACTTGAAGTGTTAGAGATGAGACTCACGGATCTAGTCCCTTTTAAATGACAACAAAAGGTTATAATGTTTAATGATAATCCTCGTATTTGATATAGCACCTTATCACATCTTTGAGACATCACAAAACACTTCACAGAATATACTGTGATGTGAATTGACTGTATATTTCGTGGGCGAAAGGCAGTATACATTTGTTAAGATATTTAAATCTATCACATGTATTTAAGAGGTAACTCAATGCATATATGTGGGAATAGAGTGTTGTAGGAGAGGTTGATAGGAAAGCTTGTGTGGATTACAAACAGCGACATGGGCTACTTGAGTCAAATGGTTTGTTGCTGTGCACTTTATGTAATTCTGTGTGAGATAAAAGATCCACATAAAATTTCCATCTTATGCTCCGGAACTGTGTGTTTAATAATATCGATCCTCAGATTACATAATATCATAAAACTCCAGATTGTATTCCAACATCATGATACACTGCGTCCGGCTAACCTTTGATTAAAGTGTGGTTGGCAATGCGATTCAGCTTTTATGCTGAAGTCATTTTGTGTGCGTATGGTCATTTGGTCTATAGTGGAGTCCTGCAGCTCAGTGGTTAGAGCACTCGCCTTATAAGCAAGAGACCTGGGCAGGGCGAAACGTTAGGCAAGTTTCCTTACTCCACACACCTCTGTTTATCTAGCAGTAAGTAGGAACCCGGATGTTAGTCGATTGGCGGATCAAGTTTCCGGGGCCAATAATCCCTTTTTTTAAAAAAAATTGTGACTGTTTGTGGGACGCCGCTGTGCGTAATTGGCTGTCATATTTCGCTCACAAAATAGTCAATTCACTTTACAGTATATTCTCAAAAGACGTGATAAGACGCTGTATCAAATGCAAGGATTGTTATTGTATATAAATATATATATGTAAATATATATATGCCTGACATGGACTCCGGCTGTGAGGATAAAATGTGGCCATCAAGACAGCTTCAGGAGGGAAGTTGTGTGGTCGGGCACAAATTCCGGTTAATCCATGAATCCTTATTAAGCAGCTCAGACAACATAAATTTACATTTGCTAAAGGTTGGCCAAAGGATTAATGTTTTCTCCCCTTTCTGAAAGTAGAAGTTGATCCATTTTCACCGACTAATTCTCCTCTATTTCACCACTGGCGGCTGAGCATTCAGTTGCGACACCCGCCCAGCTCTGCATTTCTCTCCCCAAATTCTTCTCACTTTTCCTTCAAAACCTTCCTCATTACATCTCTTCAGTTATGCACTTGGTCAACACTCTTAATTCCCTTCCTCTTCACCTTGCTCAGTGGCAACTATCATCTCTGTCAAGCATATTCGCTCCACGTGAAAGACATTGTGCATGTTGTAATTTTAGTCTTCTACCCCTTCTGCCCTCCTCTCCTCCATCTGGGACGAGCAAACTCAGCACAGGCTACTGGGGATCTTCTTGGTCTGCAGTGGAGTCCTGTAGATTAGTGGTTAGAGCACTTGCAGAGCGAAACGTTGGGCAAGTTTCCTTACTCCACACGCCTCTGTTCACCTAGCATTGAGTAGGAACCCAGTTGTTAGTTGATTGGCGATTCACTTTTCCAGGGGTAATAATTCTTTCAAAAAGTCGAAAGTAAGTATTTTTTAAATAATAATTTGGTCACTCAATCACAACTGTTTGTGGGACACTGCTGTGCGCAATTGGCTGCCACGTTTCGCCCACAAAGTATACAATCGATTCATTTTACAGTATATTCTGTGAAGCACTTTTGAGACGTCTCGAAGACATGATAAGGTGCAAAGATTATTATTACACACAGTTTAAACGTCACAAGTTGTGCAGATAAAGATGGCTTTTTGGCCCATTAACAACGACAGCAACTTGTATTTAAATAGCACCCTCCACATGGAGAAGAGTTTATTTATTCATCTGATCCTTCTAGAATGCCAGCGCTGTCGTCTTTCCTTCCAGCTTTTAAATGAGTTCGGTGTCCTGGCCTTTATGCTGTTATGAGCTATAACGTGTTCCAATTACTCTGTGAAGAAATACATCTTGTATCAAGTTTTAAATTATCCTTCACAATCCAGAACAGCGTCCTCGTATCCTGCTGCGTCGGCGTATCGTGAAGTGGTTGTTCTAGGTTTCCTTCCTCTGACCCATTTGCCTTTATAATGTCCCCTCTTTTGCTGAAGGCTGTGCTTAGGATTCATTACATTCAGTAAAAGCCAGTGGCACCACAGACTATTGAGAAGATGACTGGAGGAGTCTGACACAACACCACACAAAATTGGTCTGACCAAAAGATCAAGTTGACTTTAATTTTCCTTACCTTGGTTCAGACATGAATGGATTCAGTTTACTAACAAAGCAAAAATTCTGAAGCGCTGGACAAATTGTTATTTGCTGCAAGCATTTGTCAGCCGTTTCATTCTGCTGAGTAAACACGGAACACGTTTAAATATTAAATAGAGGGCTGGAAGCAGCAGAACTCATTGTTTTGACGGAGTGTGTTGGCTTTCTGTTGCAGATTTGTTCCGAGAGCACATGCCCTTTTTCTATCACAAGGTCACATTTTCAGGATAAGGAAATAGCTCATAACAGCATAAATCAACGTTTATTGGTAGGAAAATCTGTGCTGTTTATGAATGTATACAGCAAGTTTGCAGACTGTAGGAAATTAGGCCCCAGTCAGCTGGAGGGTTACATTCACATGACAAATGGAGCCCCAACAGAATTAAATTCTGCCTGTAAGTTAACACACAATGCCTTAAATATTTTATGTGTAGGGTCCTTCTCATACTGCTGTTAACTTGGCCATGAGATGTGCCTGAAAGTGCATACCAGTTTGAAAGTGTTATTTCCAGTTAATGTATTCTAAGTTCATCTGTAATTTCAAAGAACAGATCATGGGGCAAGGAAATAAACCTCCCACCGATTTCAATAGTTCAATAACTTAGAGAATCTGGGTTCGATTCCCCGGCAGGATGAAACCTTAGGCAAGTTTCCTTACTCCACATACCTCTGATTACCTAGCAGTAAGTGGGAACTCAGTTGTTAATCGATTGGCGCTATTCCGGGGGTAATAAATCCCTTCAAATAAATAAAATAATAATGTGGTTATTCAAACCACGACTGTTTGTGGGACGCTGCTGTGCGCAATTGGTTGCCGCGTTTCACCACAAAATATACAGTCGATTCATTTTACAGTATGTTCTGTGAAGCGCTTTGAGACGTCTCAATAACGTGGTACGACGTTGTATTAAATGCAAGGATTGTTATTATTATTTTATTCTATCCAGTCATGCCTCTTGCCTCTGATAGAGGGATCCAAAGTATAATCTTTTGGACAGGTGGAACACACTGGGCCAGAATGTCATAGAGATGGAATCAATTAGGGTATTTAAAAGGGAGATAAATTACATTAAAACAAATTACATTTTATGACAAGAACCTGTCTCAAAGCACTTCACAGTTGATATTGTAAATTATACTGACTTTGGTATCTTTACAGGCAAATGAGGCAGCCAATTTGCACACAGCAATGTCCACAAAAACTCATCAAATGAATGACCAACTCTGTAGTTTATTAGGCAGTCAGCTGCTGGAGACGATTTGGAAACAAAATTATTGCATTTATCAAATCGCTAAAATTATACAAGACACAATTTAGAAGATGTCAACGCTTGAACTTGTTGGTATCTGAGAATATTATCCAAGCAATTATTGTCCTCTTTAACTGTATGCCAAACAAATCCCACCTTTTTATCGGAATCTGTGGAACAGAATGTTTTAAGATTTGTAGAGTTTTATTAGAAATCTTTCTTGACGTCAGCCTTTGTCTCTGCTGATGTCTCTTGCCTCTGCCCCCACCCTTTGGAACTCCATTCCACAGACTGTTCGCCTTGCTCCCTCTCTTGCCTCCTTCAAGGCATAACTCAAGACCCTCCTCTTCGACCGCACCTTCTACCACCCTCCTACCCTCACCCTCCCTGCCCCTCCATCCTAACCCCCTGCTCGGGTCCAAATTCCTAACTATCCAGGGCCTTGGGACATCCTCCCAACGTGAAAGGCGCTGTGCAAGTGTCATTTGTTGTTGTTGTTGGGCAAATGGTCACCTTTTCTCCTCCTCATAACATACCAAAGAATAAGTTCTGCTTCTAGATTTTTTTTGTCTCTAAAATTAGAAAGGAAATCCCGGGAGCAACCATGATGTGCTTTAACATTTTGTCTCTTCTTTGTGTAACTGATGAACTAACAACTTCTTGTGTTATCTCTGCCCTGTTTTATTACAACACAGGCAATCAGATGGCACCTCAGCCACCGAGTAACCAGTTAGATGTCGGCTCCCATCCTGCCATGAGTCAATCCCCTATGTCACAGGAGCGAGGTTAGTTGTTTTCTTACTATGCCTTGTTTTAATGACGCTGCTATCATTGGGATGTTAAGTTAATACTAAGTACTATCAGGAGTAAGTATACAATAGACAATAAGCATATTTATTTTTAATCGTGTGCATGTATATTACATATAATAATAATCCTTGCATTTGATATAGCGCCTTATCACGTCCTTGAGACGTCTCAAAGCACTTCACAGAAAATGCTGTAAAGTGTAGTGACTGTGTTTTGTGAACAAAACGTAGCAGCCAATTGCGCACAGCAGTGTACCACAAACATTTGTGAATTGAGTGACAAAATTATTACTATTCTTATATTTAGATTATTTCAAGCAATGACCTAACGGTCCACTTCACGAGACACAATATCTTGTGTCCCAATAATCGCAACCACATCAGCTAGCAAGTGTCCTTGGGACATTTTTATATAGATTATATATATGTGGGGAACCCGGGTCCTATCGCTTGCGAGGCGAGTGCTCAAACCACAAAGCTACAGGACTCCACAATGGGAATTTCAGACCTGTGGAGCCCTTTAAGATATCTCAAAGACATGATAAGGAGCTCTGTCAAATGCAAGGATTCTTATTATTATTCTCCTCCGGCAAAAAATTATATTTACGCATCAGCCTAGAGGCCTCAAGCCCGACCTGCCTAGATTAATTCAAAGTTCACTTGTGGTCGAGGAACGCACAGGTTTCAACCTTTATCAAAAGGTCAGTGGAAATAATTTTTTTTTAAAACCTCCAAACTTAATGTATGGCTAAAGATTCACAAGGTAACAAAAACTCATGTCTCAACTCAAATGGTTAGCGGGCACCAGAACCTGGAGAGGAAGGGATTACTGACCTGACGTGTACTGCCATCTCGTGGCTAAACAACGATACAGCAAGTTTGTAACTGGAAGCTGCATTTAAATAAATTCGCCGACAGAATACACAGTCACTACACTTTACAGTTTATTCTGTGAAGTGCTTTGCGACATCTCAAAGACATGATAAGGTGCTATATCAAAATGTAAGCATTAGGAGACAGTGAACAGTGGTCAGATTCAAGTGAAAAGGCTTCATTTAATCTGTTGTTAAAATCATGCACGAGTTTGTAACAAATTCTAAGGAAGCACATTTTGAGCTGGAATCATTCTTGTAACAAAGGGCACATTAAACACATTGAGTTTTGATTCTGCTGGTTGCAAATTTTAATCCCGTGATTCAGAAATCATGCAGGGCAGAAATGGCATTTTAAAAAGGGGTAGTGACTGCCAGAATGACTGACGGGGGTGGGGAGAAACAAAAAACCTTGGAGAAGTACATTTTGTATTTGTGGTTGCTAAGATTATGTTTTAAAAAGTCTGAGAATCCAAGAATGTTTCTTGAATTGTGGTGTTGATAAATTGACAAGTTAAAATTGTACAAAGGTATTTGTTATCATCGTACAATGTATCACCGCGTAACTTCTATCCAAACTGTTGTGCGATTCAAGCATTTGCTTTCAGCGGAACGTTGATGTGTACCGACTACTGTGGGCATAATTGTGAGCTCTGAATTCGTTAAAACTTCTCTCAGATAAGGTTCCTCAAAAGCTCTTTGACGGTATTGTTTATTGACTGAATCGTTAGGGAAACATTTCTAGATCAATTTTATATCAGCTGCATTTACACTGAGGCAAGCTGCCGCCAATCCACCTCAAGGTGGTCTCAGCAGGCAGGCTCCAGTTCTCTGATCATCCCACTCAATGCCACTTATATACTGTGTGCTTTTCACAGCAAGTAGCTCTCAACCTTGGGTGATAGCAATTGAGAACAGAACATTTTAAATCCAAACCACTGTTCCAAACCAGTCTATTGTTGGATATAGTGATGTTTTCAACAGTCGCTTCCAACAGTATAAGCTAAAAGAAAATGATTTTAATTTTTATAGAGTCTTATCAGATCCAAACATGTTAGAAACAATTACTGTTGTATGCAATAACTTTTTTTTATGGGCAAAAGAGGCACCCGCCTAGACCAGCAAAGACTAACCAATCAATCTGGAGAAAGTCCTTTCTCCTTTCAGATAGTTTATGGGATTTTTAAAAATTCACTGTCTCCACAGTACTGAACCAGAGACAAATTCTCCTGATCCAAGCTGACAGAACAACAACAACAACAATAAATTAGCTTAATGGTTAGAGCACTGGTAAGGCAAAATGCCTTTGTTTACCTAGCAATAAATAGAACCCGGTTAGTCAATTGGATCGCTTTCCAGGGATAGTTATCCCTTCGAAACAAATAATAATAATAATTTGGTCACTAATTCCACAACCGTTTATGGGACGCTGTTGTGCGCAATTGGCTGCCACGATTCATCCACAAAATATACAGTCCATTCACTTTACAGTATATCCTGTGAAGCGCTTTAAGACGTCTCGAAGACGTGATAGGCAACCAAATGCAATGATTATTATTATTAATAAATTACATTTGTATAGCGCCTTTCACATCGGGAAGACGTCTCAAGGCGCTGGGAGGACAGAGGGCAGGATTTATTTTCTTAAACGCTAATACTGTTCCTAATAATCAGCAATGTCACTCAGCAATTCAGTCACCAAATCAATGATCTGATCACCCAAAGGATTTGACCACAGAAATCTTAAATGTGACAACATCATCAATGACCAGATAAATGCCCGATGCTTCCAATCAGTCACCTTCACTTCTAGCTTCTGATAACTTTTGTGGCAGCCTTACAGTGGAAATTGTTAAATTAAATTAGTGTGTTTAAAAGTTGTCATGGAATTGTTCCGAACCTTTTGATCATTAATAAAAATAATGTATTTAATGTTGCGCCTTATAACATCGGCAGCATCTCAAAGGGCTTCACAGCATTTACAGTAAAGTGTAGTGACCCTGTATTTGTAAGAGTGCCTGGACACCAAGTTGCACACAGTAATGTCCCACATATATTCATGAATAACTGGTTGATTGATGGCCAGAACACTGGGAGAAACTCTTCTCTTTTCGTATAATGCCATGGGATCTTTTAAGTCCACATGAACAGGCAAATGGGACCTCATCTTGTGATGTCACCTCAGCCAACTAAAATTAGATCTAACTAAAGTGTCAATTCTTATGAAGGTTTCAGACAATGAGCTAACACTGATATTCCCCCTCCAATCCTTTCCTCCTGTATCATACAAAAGAATGGACCAATATTTTGTGACATTGTAATAATCTTTGCATTTTGAAATAGCGCCTTATCACTTCTTCCAAGACATCTCAAATGGCTTCACAGGATTTACTGTAAAGTGAATCAACTGTATCTTTTGTGGGCAAAATTGTGGATGTTAATCTGAGACCGAAACATGTGCTTGTGTGTATTTCAACACTGGATGTTCTGTTTCTGAGAACATGCAGTTCAGACTGAGCCAGACTAACAGTGCATTCGTTTCTGAGCAGATTAGCAAAAAATCAGTTGTATGTTGAGCAGATGGTGATAAGAAGCACAGACACTCCACTAAAGTGTCCTACTGATCAGCTTTTTCACAGCTTTTTTTTGAGAGGAGGAAGGGTCTGATGCTTTTTTCTGTTCATTACTGTTCCCGTGACTGTTTGTGGGACACTGCTGTGCACAATTGGCTGCCGTGTTTCGCCCGCAAAATATACAGTCAATTCCTTCACAGTATATTCTGTGAAGTGCTTTGAGACGTCTCAAAGACATGATAAAGCGCTGTATCAAATGCAAGGATTATTATTAGTCGTTGCTTTTGAAAAAGCTGTCTGTTACCCTTTGAGGGCAAAATTTTAAAGTAGGTAAGTGTTGGGCCTAATTTTCAGCCAAATGCAATCTCCGAATGAATGACAGCGTCAATGCTGTATACATCATACACTCGAAGAATAAAAAAATGTGATGTATCTTTTAATTAATATGTATAGTATATATACATGCCAGTCATGTCCATTTGGCCTCCTGTTGTCCCTCGTCTCCTACTCTCCACCTTCGGTGGCTGTACCTTCAGCCACTAAGCCCCGAAACTCTGGAACTCTCTCCCTCAATCCCTCCACCTTGCCCCCTCCCTCCCCACCTTCAAATTCCGCGTTCATTTTTGATCGTGCTTATGGTCACCTCCCCCCCCTCCCTCTCCCCCTGGATCAGGGTCAGACTCCGCCACTGTCAAGCGCTCCGGGACGCTACCCTGTGTAAAGGGTGCTGTTTAATGTAGCACACATTGAGGTCGAAATTGCACAAGTTTAAGAATTACTTTATTTTCCTTGCATTTCAGAGTGTGCAGAATTGGACAAATTCTGAAACAGTCTTTAATTTTGAAGCCAGTTGTCTATAAGTTCTTTGTAAAGCACTACAGAAAAACAGGTTATAATAATAATAATCCTTGCATTTGATATAGCGCCTTATCATGTCTTCGAGACGTCTCAAAGCGCTTTACAAAATATACTGTAAAGTGAATTGATTGTATATTTTATGGGCAAAATGCGCTAGCCAATTGTTCTCAGCAGCGTCCCACAAACAGTCGTGGATTGAATAACAATAATCATACTAGGTTCATACTTGAGACTGAATTGAACATTTGCTAAATTCGGTACGCTTGGAAATACTAACAACAACAACAAAATTACAGATGTATAGCGCATTTCACATCGGGAGGACGTTGCAAGTCCTGGACCCGAGCTGGGGGTTGGGATCAGGTAGGGTGGAGGGTAGGCGAGAAAGGAGGGTGATTGAACGCGCAGTTGAAGAGGAGGGTTTTGAGATGCAGCTTAAAGGTGGCAAGGGAGGGGGCAAGGCGGAGGGACTGCGGGATGGAGTTCTAGAAGGTGGGGGCAGAGTGACTGAAGGCCCGCCCGCCAATGGTGGGGTGAGTGAGGCGGGGAACGTGAAGCAGGCTAAGTAAATAAGGTAAATTTAGACCATCTATTTTGTAACTGAATGCCCAGGGATAGTTAGATCAGACAGACATCGGATATAGCCAGCAGGTTTTTTCACTTACCCGATGGATCCCCAGAGAACCTATGCACAAATGTGCTTTGCAGGTGTATTTATTACTTTAACCATTTCTGGTGTATACAGTAGAATTTGGAAGTTTACCCAGAGAATATGGTGTGTAGTAGCATTGCCAGCAGGCCTGATTATCAGGGCCATGGTTGGTTGGTCTAAGCACAGAAATAGTCTTTGAAGAAATGGGCTGAATGGCTATGTATTATATATATATATAGTGAACTATAGTCAGCTGTTGCTTTATTCCCTTCAAGAAGTCCTGTAGCTCAGTGGTTGAGCACTTACCTCGCAACATGGGTTCAATTCCCGGTAGTGCGAAACCTTGGGCAAGTTTCCTCACTCCACATGCCTGATAATTATCCCTCAAGAAAAAAAATAATAAATTGGTCACTTCAATCCACGACTGTCTGTGGGACACTGCTGTGCGCAATTGGCTGCCGTGTTTCGCCCACAAATAAACGGTCAATTCACTTTACAGTATATTCTGTGAAGCACTTTAAGATGTCTAGAAGACGTGAAAAGCGCTATATCAAGTTCAGGGATTATTATTATATACATGATACAGTGCTAGATGTTGGAGATGGGTGTATTACTGGGTGGTTTCAAGCAAAGCTGTGTATCTTTTTTCAAACTAGTGTTTAGGTCCTTTTGTTCAAAATCGCTGCTGAAATATTACCTGAATCAGCTTCCAACTGCTGAACGAGAAACGGTGGGCGCAGGCGGGAGAGAGAAGGCAATGAACAGTCTGTTGAGGAGTGAACAATAAATAAATAGTTTAGTTAATTTGCCCCTTTCTGTGTAATTAGCTAGAGTATGAGATTAGGTGTGGCAGGTTACCTTACTACTGTTTTTAATATGCGAGGATATAATTTTTTGCAAATCTCAGTAAAAAAAATAAGCTGTTCTATTGCACTTCTGAGAGCTGTGATTGGACCCTTTAGCGTTTATCAAAGACCAGAACAGGTCACACAGCACATGGAGTGTGGGTTGGGGGGAGCTGATGTTCTCTTTACTTTCTCTCTGTACAGAGTAAGGAACCTGAAAATTGTTGAGAATTGGAAGCTCAGCTAAGACAATTACACCAGCCAGCCAGCAGGCATCAGGCCTATTATGTTACACCTCAGGGGGCCTGGGAATGTCCCAAGTAAAGGGTACAATTTTGCACAGGCAGAGTAACATGAATTCTAAAGGAAACTTGAGCCAGCCGTTGCTTTCTTCTCTTGGCAGATTGGAAGGGTGGAGCTTGCCCACAGCAAAACAGTTTGTATCGTTGATTCCTTGTGGCTATATCTTAACTAGATCCCTAATTTACCTAAATGCCCAATTCAGTGCTACGCTTTTTTCCACTGGCGTTCACCCTTCCTGTGGGTCTGAACTCCTCAACCTCCCCAGGCTCTCCCTCAGACTCGCTGAACCCGTGCGCAACTTAGGCGTCAGATTCTATCTCCAGCTTTCCATTCCACCCCACATCCGTTCCCTGACCAGGATCACTTATTCCCAACTCCCATCACATTGCCCACCACCATCCATACCTCAAACCCACAGGAGCTGAAACCCTCGACAAGCTTTCATCATTTCCCACTGGACTATTCCAATGCCCACCACATTGGTCTCCCCAGCTCCACCATACACAAAATTCAATTAATTCAGAACTCCGCTTCCCGGATACTTACCCGCACAAAACTCCATACCTCCATCACACCAGACCTAGCCAGGCTCCACTGACTCCCAATCACCGAACGGATTGATTTCAAGATCCTCTCACTCTTTTTTAAATCCCTTTATGCCCTGTCACCTCCCGACCTCTTCGATCTGCTGCCCCGCCCACCCCTCCCCCTCTGCTCGGCTGACTCCAGCTTCCTGTTTTTCTCTAGTTCCCTCTGCTCCATCATCAGTGGTCAATGTCTTCAGCCTCTACACCCCAAAACTCTGAAACTGTCTCCCTCCACACTTTCAAATCTCGCCTAAAGACCTTCCTTTTTGATTGTGCTCATGGTCACCTCCACACTCCCTCTCCCCCTGGCTCGGGGTCAGATTCAAGCAAGTTGTTGTTGAGAAAGTTTGTGCAGATCTTGTGTTAAAATTAGGCTTCCCTATTGAGAATCAAATTGGTGAGGTAACTTTCTGGGAGACTAAAGTAGAGGAAAGTACAAAGCCGTTAGGCGCAGTCTCTAGCAATACAGCCAAAATGTTAGTGAGAATATTAAGTGGGGCTCATTCAGTTGTATTGTCGTGTGGTGCTGAGCAACCAGATCAGGTTCCAGGTCGGCACTGAGTCTATATTGCATTCATTCATCTCAGTTGTTGTAGCAGTGACCTGGCCTGAGCTCAGATAACTTGATTTACTGTGTTCATTTGCCTTGTTTCTTGCAACCAGTGAAGTAATGTGTTTCTCAATGGTTTATTGGACCAAACCGATTGGAGCAGATGGTCACCCTGCAGGAAACAGCACCAACTACTTGGAGCTGTATTCATGGCCAAAGAGGAGAGTTCCTCTGTATCTCAGTGACTGACTCACTGACAACAACATGGCTTTATTCGCCTCGTAAGCGACAGGACCTGGGTTTGATTCCCGGGCAGGGCGAAATCTTAGGCAAGTTTCCTTACTCCACACGCCTCTGTTTACTTAGCAGGAAGTAGGAACCCGGTTGTTAGTCAATTGGTGAATCAGTTTTCCGGGCGTTTCACCCACAAATATACACTTGCAGTATATTCTGTGAAGCGCTTTGAGACGACTCGAAGCCCTGATAAGGCGCTACATCAAGTGCAAGGATTATTATTATTAAACTCACTAATCAGGTTAGCAAATGGACGAGCAATTTTGACCACATTAGTGGGGTGACCTTTAGGTGAGTTTTCACTGTATTTGTAAAGGAATTTAGAATTGAAACAAGTCAAAAGTTCTACTTTTCTACACCTGCAGGCATCGAAAAAGTGACTGGTAAACACGACTCTTGATGTTCGCGCTGAGTGATGAAAGGCAAACTTTCTATTCTCTGCCAACTCCTTATCTCAATCCTGTTACACTGGTTTCTTCAGGAACAGCCTGCATATGTAGCTTGAGGATCCGTTGCTGTGAAGCGCTCTGAGACCCCGTCCGGCGTGGAGGGCACTATATAAATCCAAGTTGTTGTTGTTGTTGTTGAGGATATAGCTGTTTGACCGGTATAGCCATAACGGGTCCTCTCCCTCCACTCAGCAGGCTCCAGCCTGCTCCACATCCCCCGCCTGGCCCCCCACACCATTGGTGGTCGGGCCTTCAGCCACTGTGCCCCCACCCTCTGGCACTTCATCCCACAGTCCATTCACCTCGTTCCCTCCCTTGCCTCTGTCAAGGCAAGTCTCAAGACCCTCCTCTTCAACCACGCCTTTGGCCATCCTCCCAAACCTACCCTTCCTGGCCTCCATCCCTCCTGATCCAAACCCCCAGTTCGGGTCTAAATCCCTGACTCTCCAATGTCTTGGGATGTCCTCCCGACATGAAAGGTGCTGTGTAAATGTCATTTGTTGTTGTTGAAACATAAATGGTGCTCTGCTATCTGTATGTTGACCTACCTTATGCATAGCACTGTGCACCCAAGAGGAGGAATAGATGACCTCATGGTGGAAGCACTGTTGAGTATGAGATTAGCAGGGCACCTTATTGAGTGAGACCCATCCTGAAATGTTTATAGAGGAAACTATTGAACTCTCAATAGATCAACAGCAGCACGGTGGTTTGAGCAAGCTTCGGCTGATTTGTGGATGACGTTAGTCGGTATAATGGAGAATAAGCAGGACATGTTGTTTTCAAAAGATATTAACCCTGCAAGCCAAAGCTCTAATAATGGGCAGGGTGGTCCTAGCTGGACAAGCAGCGGGAAAGCTTGGCAGACAGCAATATCAGTGGCAAGCTATGCGGTTTTAGCTGGTTAGACTCCAGGTTATCCCAATTCACACTGTGAGGTTCCTCAAGCCTTAGCTCTTGGTCAACCTAATACTTTCTGGAATTAGGTAAGCAGGATGAGTCCCTCCAGGGAGAGAGAGCGCATTCCGTTCCAACAATCTCTCTCTGGGATTTCCATGTGTGGGTGGGATACATGGAATTCTCAGCTTGGTTTGGATACTCTTAGCACAGTGATGGGTTTCCGCATGCATTACACACCCAGCTGAGCAAAACAAAAATTCGAAAGGGCTTGATTTCTCCAGGATTTGGAGTTCTGTGACCCAAAAGTTTGGTGCATAATTGACTCCTTTTCTCTCTCTCTCTCTCTCTCTCTCTCTCTCGAAAGGGTTTATGTCAAACATGCAGCGAAACACACAAATGACACAGTATGCATCCCAGCAAACCGTGCCTTCCATGTCTCCACATCCTTCGCCAGGAGGTCAGATACATCCAGGGATGGGTCCTTACCAGCAGAGCAACTCCAGCAGCACTTATGGCTCCCAGAGTGGCCAGTATGGACCACAAGGTAAGAGAGGACCAGTTAATTCCAACTGAATCAAGTCAATAAAATTAAATAATAACAAAACAGATTTTTTTTAGGGATCTCAATAACAACTATATAGCACCTTTTATGTAGGTAGTGTCTTGGAGTGCTTAGCAGTGGTGTTAATAATAATAATTATCCTTGCATTTGATATAGCACCTTATGTCGTTGAGAGGTCTCAAAGCATTTCACAGGATATACTGTAAAGTGGAGTGACTGTATTTTGTGGGCGAAACGCGGCAGCCTATTGCGCACATTCAGTGTCCCACAAACAGTCATGGATTGAGTCTCCAAATTTAACTTCATTAAATATAGCGAAGTTCATCAGAAACATTCTTGACATTGACGATGGCATCTCAATGCTTACAAAGAAAGAAGTGGGTCAAGAAACATTATTCAGCTATCTTCCCCCCCTTTCAAGGATAGTAACTGTAGATTAGTGGAGTCCTGTATATTAGTGGTTAGAGCACTCGCCTCGCAAGCGAGGACCTAGGTTCGATTCCCGGGCAGAGAGAAATGTTAGGCAAGTTTCCTTACTCCACACGCCTCTGTTTACCTAGCAGTAACTAAGAACCTGGTTGTTAGTCAATTGTCAGATCACTTTCTGGGAATAATAATCCCTTTTTAAAAAATAACAATAATAATTTGGTCACTCAATCCACGTCTGTTTGTAAGACACTGGATGCCGCGTTTCACCCACAAATACACAATCAATTCACTTTACAGATTATTCGGTGAAGCGCTTTTGAGATATCTCGAAGACGTGATAAGACACTATATCAAATGCAAAGATCATTATTATAGACATCAAAAAGTATTGCTTTGCACAGAGTAATTCTCAGTTGAAACAGGTTAGCAGGTATTGTAGTGACCCTGGATTGATTCATTTCGGAAACAGTATGATGCCACAAAGGGGAGAGCAGATGGAGGGTGAGTATTTTGAAAGGCTGAGAACAAATGGACCGAACATTAATTAAGATTTACCATTGCCCATTTCTGTCCCATAAAGTACAATATCAAATGCAAGGATTATTATTATTACAGTAGTCCTCAAGCAATGTTTCATTCTGACAGATAAATGATTAAAACTGCGAAACCCAACTGATTTTATACTCAAACTTCATTGTGAGAGCATGGGATTGGAAGTTAACCGGCAAATGAGTCATGTATTAGTTTATAGTTTGCTGTCCTTACTGACTGAATAAACCCATATAAACTTTCTCCATAGATTCTTCCATATACTGTAGTAATAAATCTAGTTATTGACCAAGGGTAGAAATGTTGCTTAACCACATAAATAACCTTTTGAGTATCAAGTGCCTATTGAATTCCCAGCACCCTTTTGAGCAAAAAACACCTTTTTACAGTTTTAAAAATTATGCAAGAATTAAATAAAGAAAAGTGAGCATGTGGCACATTTCAAATGTGTTGAATTTTTTTTAAAGATTGGATTTAGTGTAAAGAAATGCAGCTATAATCTTCTACGTTTGATTTTTGTACAAAAGGTTTCTTTATTAAACATTCATTGGATTAAACAAAGGCATTAGATTTAATAATAAAATAATAATAATCCTTGCACTTGATATAGCGCCTAATCACGTCTTCAACAGATGTGATGTTGATTAGCCAACCTGAGTTGTTAGGCCCATCTCAAACCTCCATTTCCTATCCAAGGTCCTCGAGAGAGCTTTTGCCTCCCAGCTCTTTCCTCTCCTCCCACTCCCTCCATGAACCCCTCCAATCGGGTTTCCGTGCTGCCCACAGCATGGAAACTGCTCTGGTCAAGGTCATAAACGACATCCTGACCATGTGTGACCAGGGCTCCCTCTACGTCCTTGTCCTTCTCGACCTCTCTGCCGCCTTCACACCGTGGACCACTTAATCCTCCTCCTCTCCTCCCACCTCAACCTTCAAGGTTCTGTCCTTGACTGGTTCAGGTCCTACCTTTCACACCACCTCCACTTCGTCGTTTCTCCTCCAGCTGCTGCACTGTCTCGTGTGGTGTCCCTCAGGGCTCTGTCCACGTTCCCTCCTCTTGACCCTTTACATGCTCCCCCTTGGTGAGCATGTAAAGGGTGAGGAGGGGACCGCAGACATGGGGTAAATTTCCACAAGTATGCGAATGACACGCAACTCTATCTCTCTGCCTCCTCCCTCAACTCCAGGACTACTGGACATCGAGTCCTGAACGAGGGACAACTTTCTCCAATTCAAAGTCAACAAGGCCCTCCTGATTGGCTCGCGCCAGCGCCTCCGCACCTCGGGCGCTGGTAGCATCAGCCTCCACGCCTGCACATTCAACCTGACTAAGCCAGTCAAGAGCCTGGGTATCTTGTTTGACGCTGAACTGTCCTTTCTCCCCCACATCCGGGCATGACCGGCACTGCAACATTGCCAGACTCCGCCACTGCCTCCCCCTCAGGCTGTCGAAACCCTCACCCACGCATTCGTTACATCAAGGCTCGATTACGGGAACTCCCTCCTCATCGGCCTTCCCAACTCTTCTCTTCACAAGCTGCAGATCATCTAAAACTCTGCAGCTCGTGTACTCTCACGCACCAGGCTCCGCGACCCCAGCACTCCCACCCTCGCCCGACTCCACTGGCTCCCCATCCCCCAGAGGATCGGGTTCAAGATCCTTGTCCTCACTTTCAAGGCCATCCATGGCTTTTCCCCCTCTCTGACCTGCTGACTCCCTACCAACCTGCTCACTTCCTCTGTTCATCAGGCTCCGGTCTGCTCCATGTCTCCCTCCCGACCCGCCCTACCATCGGTGGCCGGGCTTTCAGCCTCTCTGCCCCCACACTCTGGAACTCCATCCCACGGTACCTTCGCCTCGCTTCCTCCCTTGCCTCCTTCAAGGCCAGTCTCAAGATCCTTCTCTTCGACCGTGCCTTTGGTCGGCCTCCCACCCCTCTGCCTTCCCTCACCCCTGAACCACCCTCCCCCATGCTCGAGCCCCAACACCTGACTGTTCAGCGCTTTGGGACATCCTCCCGACGTGAAAGGTCTTCTATCAATGTAATTTTGTTGTTGTTATAGGTGTATTAGGAGAAGTACAAAGCAACCAAGCTAGTGACGTGTGTTAAGAAAAGATCATGGTTTCTGGAGTCCTGTAGCTCAGTGGTTAGAGCAATTATCTCACAAGCGAGAGACCTGGGCTTGATTCCTAGCAGGACGAAACCCTGGGCAAGTTTCCTTGTTCCACACACCTGATAATGATCCAAGAAAAAAAAACAATAAATTGGTCACTTCAATCCACAGCTGTTTGTGGGACACTGCTGTTCCCAATTGGCTGCCGCATTTTGCTCACAAATATGCAGTCAATTCACTGTACAGTATATTCTGTACGGCACTTTGAGACACCTAGAAGACATGAAAAGCGCTATATCAAATGCAAGGATTATTTTTATTTATTATGGTTCCTTGAAAAAATTAATTATGAATATTGACTACAGGCGAATGAGGAGAGCGAGGGAGGAGAGAGAAGGGAGAGAGTGAAGTGGGGGAGTGAGGTGGGAGAGGGAGGGAGAAGAGTGAGGGGGGAGAGCGGGAACCTGACCCAAGGGGAGAGCGAAAGGGGAGAATGAGAGGGGTGACCCAGAGAGAGAGCAAGGAACTTGACCCTAGGGAACGCAGGTCTTTTTGGGGCGAGAGGGCTTTTAATTCCAGGGGAGACTGAGTCAGGGCCATCCCAGCTCTTCGACGACGACAACTTGAATTTACACAGCGCCACTCACGCAGGATAGCATCCCAAAGCGTTTGACAGTGCAGGACGGTAGGGAGGAGCGAGGTGACAGTTGGCACACTCTTCAACCCACCCAACCCCCTTCCAAGCGAGCAGCTTGTGTAACCACTTCCCAAATTACAAAATTTGCCATTTGTTAATGCTCCGAGAACTCATCGTTCTTGTGTATAATTTATTGTTTTTCTTTTTCCGCCCAACCAGAAAATTCCCAGAACCCAAGCACTCTTGTTGTACAAAAGAGCGAAATGGGTTACTTTGTGGGACAGTTTGAGGCTGCTGTGTTGTATAATATTTAAAGCCACAGCCTTCAAAGTGTTCGTGTTTATGCAGGAGAAAACCGTTATTTATATAGATCAAGGGTGGAGGAGGAAGGTTCCAGTACTGTTCTTTTCCTATGGGCGTGGGGGTGCGGAGTGTTTGAAAGCATTTATTTATGTGGAGGGTGATTTTCTAGCCAGACTTTAGTTACGTTTATAAAGAAATCGAAAAGAAATCCAGCTCCACCACCTAAAACACTGTTTTTATACTAAAATATACTTATCACGTCTTTGTGGCATCTCAAAGTGCTTCGCAGAATATACTGTAAAGTTGATTGACGATATTTTGGGGGTGAAACGCGGCAGCCAAATGCGTACAGCAGTGTCCCATAAACAGTTGTGGATTGAGGGATAAAATTATTATATTTTTTTGAAGGGATTATTTCCCATTGAAAAGCGATCCGCCAATTGACTAACAACCGGGTTCCTACTTATTGCTGGGTAAACAGAGGAATGTGGAGTAAGGAAACTTGCCTAACGTTTCGCCCTGCCCGGGAATTGAACCCAGGTCCCCTCGCTTGCGAGGCGAGTGCTCTAACCACTAAGCTACAGGACTCCACAGTGCAAACGTGTGATGATGCACTGCATATTACTTACTGAGAACTAACCACAGCGCTTTCCCACACCATCTTCCATGGTTCAAATTTACATGACATTTACATTATATAACAGACAGGGCAAGAAAACAATTGAACAAGGGTTCAGATAAGGTCAACAGCTTTGTACAATCAGCCACGGATTGTATTACTGCTATCTACACACCTCCAAAGATTTTTTTTGAACATAAAATGAACTACCGGTTTGATTTATTTTCCCGAGCTGCCCTTGCTCCAGAAGAAATTTACTGGAACTTATTTCTAGTATTTCCACTTAGGTTCTGAACTGCACCTGTCACGGTAAGGGAGTTTATATTATAG